AGTCCCTCGGGGCGTAGCACTGTCCCTAAGTGGGAACCTGGGAATGCCACCACCCCTAGGATGGCCCTGGAAGGGCCACCATCTTTTGCAGGACCCCTGGGGGTGTCACCGCTCATGAAAGGTCCCTGCCTGGCTCCACAGCCTCTGGGAGTGTTCCTGGTCATGCCGTCGTCCCTTGGAGGGTCCCTGGGGATGCTGCCGCCCCTACAATGGTCCATGGGGGCGCCACCGCCCCTAGGAGGGCCTTTGGGAACACCAGACCTGTAGGGCCCTTGGGTGTAGTAGTTTTTGCACTATTTAGAACTCTGGCAGATATGACGTTAAATAAATACACCGCCCATCACTTTTCTAGTATGATCGCATGCTGAACAATGACAAGGAGAATAAATATCCAACAGGAAAACATAAGTTGGGGTGTTGTGCTGACTGATTGCTCTGTTCTCCTATTGGCTGTAATTCAGTGGATTTACAGTTTAGTCCACCAATCACAGCTAAGTATTAGGATTGCTGGACATATGCCTTCTGTATGACACTGTGATCAAGCCCCTAGGGGCACAACTGCCCCTGGGGGAACTAAAGCCTTTGGCTGAACAACTAGAGGAACCAATGACCCTGGAAGGGCCCCTGGGGGCACCACCACCCCTGGGAGGACCCCTGGTGTGCACCACTTTCCCTGGAGGGTCCCTGAGGGCATCGCTGACCCTGAAGGTGTCTCTGGGGGCGCCACCGCATCTGAGAGAGTCTCACGGGGCATAGGACTGTCCCTAAGTGGGAACCTGGGAATGCCATCACACCTGGGACGGCCCTGGAAGGGCCACCATCTTTTGCAGGACCCCTGGGGGCGTCACCGCTCATGAAAGGTCCCTGCCCGGCGCCGCAGCCTCTGGGAGTGTTCCTGGTCGTGCCGTCGTCCCTTGGAGGGTCCCTGGGGATGCTGCCGCCCCTACAATGGTCCATGGGGGCGCCGCCGCCCCTAGGAGGGCCTTTGGGAACACCAGACCTGTAGGGCCCTTGGGTGTAGTACTTTTTGCACTATTTAGAACTCTGGCAGATATGACGTTAAATAAATACACCGCCCATCACTTTTCCAGTATGATCGCATGCTGAACAATGACAAGGAGAATAAATATCCAACAGGAAAACATAAGTTGGGGTGTTGTGCTGACTGATTGCTCTGTTCTCCTATTGGCTGTAATTCAGTGGATTTACATTTTAGTCCACCAATCACAGTTAAGTATTAGGATTGCTGGACATATGCCTTCTGTATGACACTGTGATCAAGCCCCTGGGGGCGCAACTGCCCTGGGGGAGCTAAAGCCTTTGGCTGAACAACTAGAGGAACCAATGACCCTGGAAGGGCCCCTGGGGGCACCACCACCCCTGGGAGGACCCCTGGTGTGCACCACTTTCCCTGGAGGGTCCCTGAGGGCATCGCTGACCCTGAAGGTGTCTCTGGGGGCGCCACCGCATCTGGGAGAGTCCCTCGGGGCATAGCACTGTCCCTAAGTGGGAACCTGGGAATGCCACCACCCCTGGGACGGCCCTGGAAGGGCCACCATCTTTTGCAGGACCCCTGGGGGCGTCACCGCTCATGAAAGGTCCCTGCCCGGCGCCACAGCCTCTGGGAGTGTTCCTGGTCGTGCCGTCGTCCCTTGGAGGGTCCCTGGGGATGCTGCCGCCCCTACAATGGTCCATGGGGGCGCCGCCGCCCCTAGGAGGGCCTTTGGGAACACCAGACCTGTAGGGCCCTTGGGTGTAGTAGTTTTTGCACTATTTAGAACTCTGGCAGATATGACGTTAAATAAATACACCGCCCATCACTTTTCCAGTATGATCGCATGCTGAACAATGACAAGGAGAATAAATATCCAACAGGAAAACATAAGTTGGGGTGTTGTGCTGACTGATTGCTCTGTTCTCCTATTGGCTGTAATTCAGTGGATTTACATTTTAGTCCACCAATCACAGTTAAGTATTAGGATTGCTGGACATATGCCTTCTGTATGACACTGTGATCAAGCCCCTGGGGGCGCAACTGCCCCTGGGGGAGCTAAAGCCTTTGGCTGAACAACTAGAGGAACCAATGACCCTGGAAGGGCCCCTGGGGGCACCACCACCCCTGGGAGGACCCCTGGTGTGCACCACTTTCCCTGGAGGGTCCCTGAGGGCATCGCTGACCCTGAAGGTGTCTCTGGGGGCGCCACCGCATCTGGGAGAGTCCCTCGGGGCATAGCACTGTCCCTAAGTGGGAACCTGGGAATGCCACCACCCCTGGGACGGCCCTGGAAGGGCCACCATCTTTTGCAGGACCCCTGGGGGCGTCACCGCTCATGAAAGGTCCCTGCCCGGCGCCACAGCCTCTGGGAGTGTTCCTTCGTGCCTGTCGTGCCGTCGTCCCTTGGAGGGTCCCTGGGGATGCTGCCGCCCCTACAATGGTCCATGGGGACGCCGCCGCCCCTAGGAGGGCCTTTGGGAACACCAGACCTGTAGGGCCCTTGGGTGTAGTAGTTTTTGCACTATTTAGAACTCTGGCAGATATGACGTTAAATAAATACACCGCCCATCACTTTTCCAGTATGATCGCATGCTGAACAATGACAAGGAGAATAAATATCCAACAGGAAAACATAAGTTGGGGTGTTGTGCTGACTGATTGCTCTGTTCTCCTATTGGCTGTAATTCAGTGGATTTACATTTTAGTCCACCAATCACAGTTAAGTATTAGGATTGCTGGACATATGCCTTCTGTATGACACTGTGATCAAGCCCCTGGGGGCGCAACTGCCCCTGGGGGAGCTAAAGCCTTTGGCTGAACAACTAGAGGAACCAATGACCCTGGAAGGGCCCCTGGGGCACCACCACCCCTGGGAGGACCCCTGGTGTGCACCACTTTCCCTGGAGGGTCCCTGAGGGCATCGCTGACCCTGAAGGTGTCTCTGGGGGCGCCACCGCATCTGGGAGAGTCCCTCGGGGCATAGCACTGTCCCTAAGTGGGAACCTAGGAATGCCACCACCCCTGGGACGGCCCTGGAAGGGCCACCATCTTTTGCAGGACCCCTGGGGGCGTCACCGCTCATGAAAGGTCCCTGCCCGGGGCTACAGCCTCTGGGAGTGTTCCTGGTCGTGCCGTCGTCCCTTGGAGGGTCCCTGGGGATGGGCCGCCCCTGCAATGGTCCATGGGGGCGCCGCCGCCCCTAGGAGGGCTACTGCGAACACCAGACCTGTAGGGCCCTTGGGTGTAGTAGTTTTTGCACTATTTAGAACTCTGGCAGATATGACGTTAAATAAATACACCGCCCATCACTTTTCCAGTATGATCGCATGCTGAACTATGACAGAATAAATCAACAGGAAGAAACATAAGTTGGGGTGTTATTGCTGACCCAGTTGGCTCTGTTTCGCATATTGGCTGTAATTGAGTGGTTTTACATTTAGTCACAATCACAGTTAAGTAATAAGTTGCTGGACATATGCCTTCTGTGACACTGTGGTCAAGCCCCTGAGAATATAAACGTCCCTGGGGGCAAAGCCTTTGGCCAACAAATAGAGGAACCAATGACCTGGAAAGGCCCTGGGGGAATACCACCACCCTGGGAGGAACCCCTGGTGGCACCACTTTCCCTGGAGGGGTCCCTGAGGTATCGCTGACCCTGAAGGTGTCTCTGGGGGCGCCACCGCATCTGGGAGAGTCCCTCGGGGCATAGCACTGTCCCTAAGTGGGAACCTGGGAATGCCACCACCCCTGGGACGGCCCTGGAAGGGCCACCATATTTTGCAGGAGCCCTGGGGGCGTCACCGCTCATGAAAGGTCCCTGCCCGGCGCCACAGCCTCTGGGAGTGTTCCTGGTCGTGCCGTCGTCCCTTGGAGGGTCCCTGGGGATGCTGCCGCCCCTACAATGGTCCATGGGGACGCCGCCGTCCCTAGGAGGGCCTTTGGGAACACCAGACCTGTAGGGCCCTTGGGTGTAGTAGTTTTTGCACTATTTAGAACTCTGGCAGATATGACGTTAAATAAATACACCGCCCATCACTTTTCCAGTATGATCGCATGCTGAACAATGACAAGGAGAATAAATATCCAACAGGAAAACATAAGTTGGGGTGTTGTGCTGACTGATTGCTCTGTTCTCCTATTGGCTGTAATTCAGTGGATTTACATTTTAGTCCACCAATCACAGTTAAGTATTAGGATTGCTGGACATATGCCTTCTGTATGACACTGTGATCAAGCCCCTGGGGGTGCAACCGTCCCTGGGGGAGCCAAAGCCTTTGGCTGAACACCTAGAGGAACCAATGACCCTGGAAGGGCCCCTGGGGGCACCACCACCCCTGGGAGGACCCCTGGTGTTCACCACTTTCCGTGGAGGGTCCCTGAGGGCATCGCTGACCCTGAAGGTGTCTCTGGGGGCGCCACCGCATCTGGGAGAGTCCCTCGGGGCATAGCACTGTCCCTAAGTGGGAACCTGGGAATGCCACCACCCCTGGGACGGCCCTGGAAGGGCCACCATATTTTGCAGGAGCCCTGGGGGCGTCACCGCTCATGAAAGGTCCCTGCCCGGCGCCACAGCCTCTGGGAGTGTTCCTGGTCGTGCCGTCGTCCCTTGGAGGGTCCCTGGGGATGCTGCCGCCCCTACAATGGTCCATGGGGACGCCGCCGTCCCTAGGAGGGCCTTTGGGAACACCAGACCTGTAGGGCCCTTGGGTGTAGTAGTTTTTGCACTATTTAGAATTCTGGCAGATATGACGTTAAATAAATACACCGCCCATCACTTTTCCAGTATGATCGCATGCTGAACAATGACAAGGAGAATAAATATCCAACAGGAAAACATAAGTTGGGGTGTTGTGCTGATTGATTGCTCTGTTCTCCTATTGGCTGTAATTCAGTGAATTTACATTTTAGTCCACCAATCACAGTTAAGTATTAGGATTGCTGGACATATGCCTTCTGTATGACACTGATCAAGCCCCTGGGGGAGCTAAAGCCTTTGGCTGAACAACTAGAGGAACCAATGACCCTGGAAGGGCCCCTGGGGGCACCACCACCCCTGGGAGGACCCCTGGTGTGCACCACTTTCCCTGGAGGGTCCCTGAGGGCATCGCTGACCCTGAAGGTGTCTCTGGGGGCGCCACCGCATCTGGGAGAGTCCCTCGGGGCATAGCACTGTCCCTAAGTGGGAACCTGGGAATGCCACCACCCCTGGGACGGCCCTGGAAGGGCCACCATCTTTTGCAGGACCCCTGGGGGCGTCACCGCTCATGAAAGGTCCCTGCCCGGCGCCACAGCCTCTGGGAGTGTTCCTGGTCGTGCTGTCGTCCCTTGGAGGGTCCCTGGGGATGCTGCCGCCCCTACAATGGTCCATGGGGGCGCCGCCGCCCCTAGGAGGGCCTTTGGGAACACCAGACCTGTAGGGCCCTTGGGTGTAGTAGTTTTTGCACTATTTAGAACTCTGGCAGATATGACGTTAAATAAATACACCGCCCATCACTTTTCCAGTATGATCGCATGCTGAACAATGACAAGGAGAATAAATATCCAACAGGAAAACATAAGTTGGGGTGTTGTGCTGACTGATTGCTCTGTTCTCCTATTGGCTGTAATTCAGTGGATTTACATTTTAGTCCACCAATCACAGTTAAGTATTAGGATTGCTGGACATATGCCTTCTGTATGACACTGTGATCAAGCCCCTGGGGGTGCCCCTGGGGGAGCTAAAGCCTTTGGCTGAACATAGAGGAACCAATGACCCTGGAAGGGCCCCTGGGGGGCACCACCTCACCCCCTGGAGGACCCCTGGTGCACCATTTCTCCTGAGGGTCCCTGAGGGCATCGCTGACCCCTGAAGGTGTCTCTGGGGGCGCCACCGCATCTGGGAGAGTCCCTCGGGCATAGCACTGTCCCCTAAGTGGGAACCCGGGGAATGCCACCACCCTGGGACGGCCCTGGAAGGGGCCACCATCTTTGTGACCCCTGGGGCGTCACCATGAGTCCCTGCCCCGCGCCACAGCCTTCGGGGGTGTTCTGGCTGTGCCGTCGCCCCTTGAGGGTCCCTGGGGATGCTGCCGCCCCTACAATGGTCCATATGGGGCGCTGCCGCCTTAGAGGGCCTCCTTTGGAACACCAGACCTGCAGGGCCCTTGGGTGTAGTAGTTTTTGCACTATTTAGAACTCTGGCAGATATGACGCAATACACCTATCACTTTTCCAGTATGATCGCATGCTGAACAATGACACAAGGAGAATAAATATCCAACAGGAAAACATGGGTTGGGGTGTTGTGCTGACTGATTGCTCTGTTCTCCTATTGGCTGTAATTGTATGGGATTTAGATTTTAGTCCACCAATCACAGTTGGCATTAGGATTGCTGGACATATGCCTCTGTATGACACTGTGATCAAGCCCCCGGGGGCGCAACCGCCCCCTGGGGAGCTAAAGCCTTTGGCTGAACAACTAGAGGAACCAATGACCCTGGAAAGGGCCCCCTGGGGCACCACCACTCCTGGAGGACCCCTGTGTGCACCACTTTCCTGGAGGGTCCGTGAGGGCATCAATGACCCCTGAAGGTGTTCTGGGGGCGCTACCGCATCTGGGAGAGTCCCTGGGCATAGCACTGTCCCTAAGTGGGAACCTGGGAATGCCACTCACCTCTGGGACGGCCCTGGAAGGGCCACCATCTTTGCAGGGACCCTGGGGCGCCACCGCCATGAAAGGTTCCTGCCCGCGCCACAGCCCTGGGAGTGTTCCTGGTCGCAAGCCGTCGTCCCTTTGGAGGGTCCTTTCTGGGGATGCTGCTGCCCCTACAATGGTCCATGGGACGCCGCCGCCCCTCAGGGAGGGCATTTGGGGAACACCACCTGTAGGGCCCTTGGGTGTAGTAGTTTTGCACTATTTAGGAACTCTGGCAGATATGACGTTAAATAAATACACCACTCATCACTTTTCCAGTATGATCGGCATGCTGACCAATGACAAGGAGAATAAATATCCAACAGGAAAACATAAGTTGGGGTGTTGTGCTGACCGATTGCTCTGTTCTCCCATTGGCTGTAATTCAGTGGATTTATATTTTAGTCCACCAATCATGTTAAGCATTAGGATTGCTGGACATATGCCTCTCTGTATGACATCAGGATCAAGCCCCTAGGAGCACAACTGCCCCTGGGGAACTAAAGCCTTTGGCTGAACAACTAGGAGGAACCACGACCCCTGGAAGGGCCCCTGGGGCACCACCACCCTGGGAGGACCCCTGCACCACTTTCCCTGGAGGGTCCCCTGAGGGCATCGCTGACCCTGAAGGTGTCTCTGGGGCGCCACTGCGATCTGGGAGAGTCCCTCGGGGCATAGACTGTCCCTAAGGGGAACCTGGGAATGCCATCATCACTCCTGGGACGGCCCCCAGCGGGCCACCATCTTTGCAGGACCTGGGGCGTCACCGCCATGAAAGGTCCCTGCCCGGCGCCGCAGCAGCTCTGGGAGTGTTCCTCGGTCGCGCCGTCGTCCCTTGAGGGTCCCCTGGGATGCTGCCGCCTACAATGGTCCATAGGCGCCACTTAGGAGGGTTTCTTTGGGAACACCTCAGACCTGTAGGGCCCTTTGGGTGTAGTAGTTTTTGCACCATTTAGAACCTGGCAGATATGACGCTAAATAAATACACCGCTTCATCACTTTTCCAGTATGATCGCATGCTGAACAATGACAAGGAGAATAAATATCCAACAGGAAAACACATAAGTTGGGTGTTGTGCTGACCGGATTGCTCTGTTCTCCTATTGGCTGTAATTCAGTGGATTTAGTATTTTAGTCCACCAATCACAGTTGGCATTAGGATTGCTGGACATATGCCTTCTGTATGACACTGTGATCGCCCCTGGGGCTATAACTGCCCCTGGGGAGCTAAAGCCTTTGGCTGAACAACTAGAGGAACCACGACCCTGGAAGGGCCCCCTTGGGGCACCCACCACCCTGGAGGACCCCTGGTGTGCACCACTTCTCCCCGGAGGGTCCCTGAGGCATCGCTGACCCCGAAGGTGTCTCTAGGGGCGCCACCGCATCTGGGAGAGTCCTCGGGCATAGCACTGTCCCTAGGTGGGAACCTGGGAATGCTACTCACCCCTGGACGGCCCTCTGAAGGGGCTTCACCATCTTTTGTAGACCCCTGGGGCGTCACCGCCTGGAAAGGTCCCCGCCCGCCGCAGCCTCTGGAGTGTTCCTGGTCGCGGCTGTCGTCCCTTGGAGGGTCCCTGGGGATGCTGCCGCCCCTGGCTAATGGTCCAGGCGCTGCCGCCCTTAGAGGGCCTTTGGGAACACCAGACCTAGGGCCCCTTGGGTGTAGTACTTTTTGCACTATTTTAGAACTCTGGCAGATATGACGTTAAAATAAATACACCGCTTCATCACTTTTCCAGTATGATCGCATGCTGAACAATGACAAAGGAGAAAAATATCCAACAGGAAAACATAAGTTGGGGTGTTGTGCTGACTGATTGCTCTTGTTCTCCTATTGGCTGTAATTCAGTGATTTACATTTTAGTCCACCAACAATCACAGCAGCATAGGTTTGCTTGGACATATGCTTCTTGCAATGCATACACTGTGATCACACCTGGGGAAGAACCGCCCCTGAAGGGCCCCCTGGGGAGCCAAAGCCTTTGGCTGAAACACTAGAGGAACCAATGACCCTGGAAGGGCCCCTGGGGCACCATCACCCCTGGAGGACCCTGATGCACCGCTTTCCCTGAGGATCCCTGAGGGCATCACTGACCCCTGAAGGTGTCCCCTGGGGGCGCCACTGCATCTGGGAGGGTCCCTCGGGGCATAGCACTGTCCCTAAGTGGGAACCCAGGGAATGCCACCTCACTCCTGACGGCCCTGAAGGGCCACCATCTTTGCAGGACCCCCTGGGGCGCCACCGCTGATGAAAGGTCTCGCCCGCGCCACAAATACCTCTGGAGTGTTCCCATCGTGCCGTCGTCCCTGGAGGGTCCCTTGGGGATGGGCCGCCCCTGCACGGTCCATATGGGGGGGCGCTTCCGCCCCTAGGGAGGGCTAATAAACACCAGACCTGTAGGGCCCTTGGGTGTCGTAGTTTGCACTATTTAGAACCTGGCAGATATGACGCACAAATACACCATCACTTTTCCAGTATGATCGCATGCTGAAGAATGACAAGGAGAATAAATATCCAACAGGAAAACATAAGTTGGGGTACAGTTGACTGGATTGCTCTTGTTTTCCTATTGGCTGTAATTCAGTGGATTTATATTTAGTCCACCAATCACAAAGTGCTAAGTATTGTGGGATTGCTGGACATATGCCTCTGTATGACATCAGATCAAGCCCTGGGGGGCTAAAACGTCCCTGGGGAGCCAAAGCCTTTGGCTGAACAAATAGAGGAATCAATGACCCTGGAAGGGCCCCTGGGGCACCACCACCCCTGGGAGGATCCCTGGTGTGCACCCCATACTTTCCCTGGAGGGTCCCTGAGGGCATCGCTGACCCTGAAGGTGTCTCTGGGGCGCCACCGCATCTGGGAGAGTCCTCGGGCATAGCAGTGTCCCTAAGTGGGAACCTGGGAATGCCATCACTTCGGGACGGCCCTGGAAGGGCCACCATCTTTGCAGGACCCCTGGGGGCGTCACCGGGCCATGAAAGGTCCCCGCCTCGCGCCCAGGCCTCTGGAGTGTTCCTGGTCGCCGCTGTCCCTTGAGGTCCTCTCCGGGGATGCTGCCGCCTGGCAATGGTCCATGGGGCTGCCACTTAGGAGGGCCTTTGGGGAACACCCAGACCTGTAGGGCCCCTTGGGTGTAGTAGTTTTTTGCACTATTTAGAACTCTGGCAGATATGACGTTAACAAATACACCGCCCATCATCACTTTTCCAGTATGATCGCATGCTGAACAATGACAAGGGAGAATAAATATCCAACAGAAAACATGTTGGGGTGTTGTGCTGACTGATTGCTCTGCTCTCCCCATTGGCTGTAATTCAGTGATTTACATTTTAGTCCACCAATCACAGTTAAGTATTAGGATTGCTGGACATATGCCTTCTGTATGACACTGTGATCAAGCCCCTGGGGCTTAACTGCCCCTGGGAGCCAAAGCCTTTGGCTGAACAACTAGAGGAACCACGACCTGGAAGGGCCCCCTGGGGGGCACCACCACCCTGGGAGGACCCCTGGTGTGCACCACTTTCCCCTGAGGGTCCCTGAGGGCATCGCTGACCCTGAAGGTGTCTCTAGGGCGCCACCGCATCTGGGAGAGTCCCTCGGGGCATAGCACTGTCCCTAGGTGGAACCTGGGAATGCCATCATTCCTGGGACGGCCCTGGAAGGGCCACCATCTTTGCAGGACCCCTGGGGGCGTCACCGGCCTTGAAAGGTCCCTCGCCCCGCGCCGCAGATTCTGGGAGTGTTCCTGGTCGTGCCGCTGTCCTTGGAGGGTCTCTGGGATGCTGCCGCCCCTACACGGTCCATGGGCGCTGCTGCCCCTAGGAGGGCCTTTGGGAACACCCAGACCCAGGGCCCTTTGGGTGTAAAGTACTTTTGCACTATTTAGAACTCTGGCAGATATGACGTTAAATAACATACACCGCCCATCACTTTTCCAGTATGATCGCATGCTGAACAATGACAAGGAGAAAAAATATCCAACAGGAAAACATAAGTTGGGGTGTTGTGCTGACTGATTGCTCTGTTCTCCTATTGGCTGTAATTCAGTGATTTACATTTTAGTCCACCAATCACAAAGCTAAGTATTAGTTTGCTGACACAGCGCTTTCTTGCACGACACTGTGATCAAGCACCTGGGGGCAACCGCCCCCGGAAGGCCCCTGGGGAGCCAAAGCCTTGGCTGAAAACACTAGTGGAACCAATGACCCTGGAAGGGCCCCTGGGGCACCATCACTCCCGGGAGTGACCCCCCTGGATGCACCGCTTCCCTTGAGGATCCCTGAGGGCATCACTGACCCCGGAAGGTGTCCCCGGGGGCGCCACGCATCTGGGAGTGGTCCCTCGGGGCATAGCACTGTCCCTATGGGAACCTAGAATGCCACTCACTTCTGGGACGGCCCTGAAGGGTTACCATCTTTGCAGGACCCTCTGGGGGCGTCACCGCTGATGAAAGGTCCCTGCCCGGCGCCACACCTCTGGGAGTGTTCCTGGTCGTGCCGTCGTCCCTTGGAGGGTCCCTGGGGATGGGCCGCCCCTGCACGGTCCATGGGGGCGCTTCCCGCCCCCTAGGAGTGGGCTACTGGGAACACCCGTGACCCGTAGGGCCCCTTGGGTGTCGTAGTTTTTGCACTATTTAGAACTCAAGATATGACGTTAAATAAATACAATCACCATCACTCTTCCAGTATGATCGCATGCTGAAGAATGACAAGGAGAATAAATATCCAACAGGAAAACATAAGTTGGGTGTTGTGCTGACTGATTGCTCTGTTTTCCTATTGGCTGTAATTCAGTGGATTTTTACATTTTAGTCCACCAATCACAGTGCTAAGTATTAGGATTGCTGACACATATGCCTTCTGTATGACACTGTGATCAAGCCCTGGGGGCTAAACGTTCCTTGGGGGAGCCAAAGCCTTTGGCTGAACAAATAGAGGAATCACGACCTGGAAGGGCCCCTGGGGCACCACCACCCCTGGGAGGATCCCTGGTGTGCACCACTTTCCCGGAGGGTCCCTGAGGGCATCGCTGACCCTGAAGGTGTCTCGGGGGCGCCAACGCATCTGGGAGAGTCCCCTCGGGGCATAGCAGTGTCCCTAAGTGGGAACCCGGGAATGCCACTACCTCTTGGGACGGCCCTGAAGGGCCACCTCATATTTTGCAGGACCCCTTGGGGGCGTCACTCTCACCAGAAGGTCCCTACCCGGCGCTACAGCCACCTCTGGGAGTGTTCCTTGGTCGTGCCGGGCTGTCCCTTGAGGGTCCTGGGATGCTGCCGCCCCTACAATGGCCCCATGTGTGACGCTGCCGTCTCCTTAGGAGGGCTCTTTTGGGAACACCAGACCTGTAGGGCCCTTGGGTGTAGTAGTTTTTTGCACCATTTAGAACTCTGGCAGATATGACGTTAAATAAAATACACCGCCCATCACTTTTCCAGCAGTATGATCGCATGCTGAAAATGACAGCGAGAATAAAATATCCAACAGGAAAACATGCTAAGTTGGGGTGTTGTGCTGACTGATTGCTCTGTTCTCCTATTGGCTGTAATTCAGTGGATTTACATTTTAGTCCACCTCAATCACAAAGTTAAGTATTAGAATTGCTGGACATATGCCTTCTGTATGACACTGTGATCAAGCCCCTGGGGTAACTGCCCCCTGGGAGCTTAAAGCCTTTGGCTGAACATTCAGGAGGAACCAATGACCCTGAAGGGGCCCCTGGGGCACCCTTCACCACCCCTGGGAGGACCCCCAGGCACCCTTTCACTTTCCCCTGGAGGGTCCCTGAGGGGCAACGCTGACCCGAAGGTGTCTCTGGGGGCGCCACCGCATTCGGGAGAGTCCCTCGGGCATAGCACTGTCCCCAAGTGGGAACCTTGAATGCCACCCACCCCTGGACGGCCCTGGAAGCGGCCACCATCTTTGCAGGACCCCTGGGGCGTCACCGCCATGAAAGGTCCCTGCCCGCGCCACAGCCTCTGGGAGTGTTCCTGGTCGTAAGCTGTCGTCTCCCTTTGAGTGGTCCCTTGGGGATGCTGCCGCCCCTACAATGGTCTATGTGGGCGCCGCCGCCCCTAGGAGGGTTTTCCTTTGGGAACACCAGACCTGTAGGGCCCTTTGGGTGTAGTAGTGTTTTTGCACTATTTAGAACTCTGGCAGATATGACGTTAAATAAATATACACCTTCATCACTTTTCCAGTGTATGATCGCATGGTGAACAATGACACAAGGAGTATAAATATCCAACAGGAAAACATAAGTTGGGGTGTTGTGCTGACTGATTGCTCTGTTCTCCTATTGGCTGTAATTCAGTGGATTTACATTTTAGTCCACCAATCACAGTTAAGTATTAGGATTGCTGGACATATGCCTCTCTGTATGACACTGTGATCAAGCCCCTGGGGCTAGAAACGTCCCTGGGGAGCCAAAGTTCCTTGGCTGAACAACTAGAGGAACCACGACCCTGAAGGGCCCCTTGGGGCACTTTTTCAATTACCCCTGGGAGGACCCCCTGGTGTACCACATTCCCCTGAGGGTCCCTTGAGGCACGCGACCCTGAAGGTGTTCTGGGGCGCCAAGATCCGGGAGAGTCACCGGGGCATAGCACTGTCCCCAAGTGGGAACCTGGGAATGCCACCACTCCTGGGACGGCCCCAAGGCCACCATCTTGCAGGACCCCTGGGGGGCGTCACCGCCATGAAAGGTCCCCTGCCCGCGCCACAGCCTCTGGGAGTGTTCCTGGTCGCGGCCGCCGTCCCTGAGGGTCCCTTGGGGATGCTGCCGCCCCTAGAATGATCCATGGGGCACCGCCGCCCCTAGGAGGGCTTTGGGAACAATTCAGACCTGTAGGGCCCTTTTGGGTGTAGTAGTTTTTGCAATCTATTTAGAACTCTGCAGATATGACGTTAAATAAATACACCTACCATCACTCTTTCCAGTACATGATCGCGATGCTGAACAATGACAAGTTGGGAGAATAAATATCCAACAGGAAAAACATAAGTTGGGGTGTTGTGCTGACTGATTGCTCTTGTTCTCCTATTGGCTGTAATTCAGTGGATGATATTTTGTGTCCACCAATCACAGTTAAGTATTAGGATTGCTGACATATGCCTTCTGTATGACACTGTGATCAAGCCCCTGGGGTGCAACTGTCCCTGGGGAGCCAAGCCTTTGGCTGAACACCTAGAGGAACCAATGACCCTGGAAGGGCCCCCTGGGGGCACCACCACCCTGGGAGGATCCCTGGTGTGCACCACTTTCCCTGGAGGGCGCAAGGGCATCATCGACCCCTGAAGGTGTCTCTGGGGCGCCACCAAGATTCGGGAGAGTCACTGGGCATAGCACTGTCCCTGGGCAAACCTGGGAATGCCACCACCTCGGGACGGCCCCCAGGGGCTGGGCCACCATCTTTGGTGGCAGGACCCTGGGGCGTCACCGCCGCTTTTAGCAGTCCCGCCCGGCGCCACAGACATCTCTGGAGTGTTCCTGGTCGCAAGCCGGGCCGTCCCTGAGTGGTCCCTGGGGATGCTGCCGCCCCCTACAATGGTCCATGGGGACGCCGCCGCCCCTAGAGTGGCATTTGGGAACACCAGACCTGTAGGGCCCTTTTGCGTAGTAGTTTTGCACTATTTAGAACTCTGGCAGATATGATGTTAAATAAATACACCGCCCATCACTTTTCCAGTATGATCGCATGCTGAACAATGATGTAAGGAGAATAAATATTCAACAGGAAAACATAAGTTGGGGTGTTGTGCTGACTGATTGCTCTGTTCTCCTATTGGCTGTAATTTTGGATTTACATTTTGGCCCACCAATCACAGTTAAGTATTAGGTTTTAAGGACATATGCCTTCTGTACCACACCGTGATCAAGCACCTGGGGCGCAACTGCCCTGAAGGGCCCCTAAAGCCAAAGCCTTGGCTGAAACACTAGAGGAACCACGACTTGAAGGGCCCCCTGGGGCACCACATCACCCCTGGAGGACCCTGATGCACCGCCCCTTGAGGATCCCTGAGGGCATCACTGACCCCGAAGTGTCCCCTGGGGCGCCACCGCATCTGGAGGGTCCCTCGGGGGCATAGCACTGTCCCTAAGTGGGAACCTTAGGAATGCCACTACCTTCTGGGACGGCCTTCAGCGGGCCACCATCTTGCAGGACCCCCTGGGGCGTCACCGCTGATGAAAGCAGTTCCTGCCCGGCGCCACAGCTTCTGGAGTGTTCCTGGTCGTACGCTGTCCCTTGAGGGTCCCTGGGGATGGCCGCCGCTGCAATGGTCCATGGGGCGCTGCTGCCCCTAGGAGGGCTACCGGGAACACCAGACTAGAAAATTGGGTGTAGTAGTTTTTGCACTATTTAGAACTCTGGCAGATATGACGCTAAATAAATACAATCACTTCCATCACTTTTCCAGTATGATCGCGATGTGCTGAAGAATGAGACAAGGAGACAAATATCCAACAGGAAAACATGTAAGTTGGGGTGTTGTGCTGACTGATTGCCGCTTTCTCCTCTATTGGCTGTAATTCAGTGGATTTACATTTTTAGTCCACCAATCACAGTTAAGTATTAGGATTGCTGGACATATGCCTTCTGTATGACACTGTGATCAAGCCCCTGGGGGGCGCAAACGTCCCTGCAGGAGCCAAAGCCTTTGGCTGAACAAAATAGAGGAACCACGACTTCTGGAAGGGCCCCTGGGGCACCACCACCCTGGGAGGACCCTGGTGTGCACCACTTCCTGAGGGTCCCTGAGGGCATCAACAAGTGACCGTGAAGGTGTCTCTGGGGCGCCACTGCATCTGGGAGAGTCCTCGGGGCATAGCAGTGTCCCAAGTGGGGAACCTGGGAATGCCACTACCTTCTGGACGCCCCTGGAAGGGCTACCATATTTTGCAGGACCCCTGGGGGCGTCACCGCCATAGAAGGTCCCTTTACCCGGCGCCACAGCCTCTGGGAGTGTTCCTGGTCGCGGCCGTCAGTCCCCTTGAGGGCTGTCCCTGGGATGCTGCCGCCCCTACAATGGTCCATGGGGACGCCGTCCCTAGGAGGGCCTTTGGGGAACACCAGACCTGTAGGGCCCTTGGGTGTAGTAGTTTTTGCACCATTTAGAACTCTGGCAGATATGACGCTAAATAAATACACCGCCCCATCACTTTTCCAGTATGACGATGCTGAAAATGACAAGGAGAATAAATATCCAACAGGAAAACACATAAGCTGGGGTGTTGTGCTGACTGATTGCTCTGTTCTCCTATTGGCTGTAATTCAGTGGATTTACATTTTAGTCCACCCAATCACAGTTAAGTATTAGGTTTGCTTTCGACATGCTTTCTGTACCACACTGTGATCAGTTTTCCCCGGGGGGCGCAACTGCCCTGGAAGGGCCTCCCTGGGGAGCCAAAAGCCTTTTGGCTGAAACACTAGAGGAACCACGACCCTGGAAGGGCCCCTGGGGTACCATCACCCCTGGGAGGACCCCTGATGCACCGCCTCCCTTGAGGATCCCTTGAGGCATCACTGACCCTGAAGGTGTCCCTGGGGCGCCACCGCATCTGGGAGGGTCCTCGGGCATAGCACTGTCCCTAAGGGGAACCTAGGAATGCCACCACCTGGGACGGCCCCTGAAGGGCCACCATCTTTGCAGGACCCCTGGGGCGTCACCGCTGATGAAAGGTCCCTGCCCGGCGCCACAGCCTCTGGGGAGTGTTCCTGGTCGCGTCGTCGTCCCCTTGAGGGTCCCTGGGATGGGCCGCCCCTGCAATGGTCCATGGGGCGCCGCCGCCCCTAGAGGGCTACTGGGAACAATTGTGACCTGTAGGGCCCTTGGGTGTAGTAGTTTTGCACTATTTAGAACTCTGGCAGATATGACGTTAAATAAATACACCGCCCATCACTTTCCAGTATGATCAACAAGATGCTGAAGAATGACAAGGAGAATAAATATCCAACAGGAAAACATAAGTTGGGGTGTTGTGCTGACTCATTGCTCTGTTTTCCTATTGGCTGTAATTCAGTGGATTTATGATTTTAGTCCACCAATCACAGTTGGCATTAGGATTGCTGGACCTATGCCTTCTGTATGACACTGTGATCAAGCCCTGGGGCGCAAACGTCCCCTGGGGGGAGCCAAAGCCTTGGCTGAACAAATAGAGGAATCAATGACCCTGGAAGGGCCCCTGGGGCAACCTTTCACCACCCTGGGAGATCCCTGGTGTGCAACTACTCTCCCCTGGAGGGTCCCTGAGGGCACGGGCTGACCCTGGGAAGGTAAGTTCCTGGGGCGCCACCGCATCTGGGAGAGTCCTCGGGGCATAGCAGTGTCCCTAAGTGGGAACCTGGGAATGCCACCACCCCTGGGACGGCCCTGAAGGGCCACCATATTTTGCAGGACCCCCGGGGGCGTCACCGGCTCATGGAAGGTCCCTTCACGGCGCCACATTCTGGGAGTGTTCCGGTCGTGTCAGCTGTCCCTTGGAGGGTCCCCTGGGGATGCTGCCGCCCCCACAATGGTCCATAGACGCCGCCGCCCCTAGGAGGGCCTTTGGGAACACCAGACCTGTAGGGTCTTTGGGTGTAGTAGTTTTTGCACCATTTAGAACTCTGGCAGATATGACGTTAAATAAATACACCGCCCATCACTTTTCCAGTATGATCAAAAGATACGAAAAATGACAAGGAGAATAAGACAACCAACAGGAAAACATAAGTTGGGGTGTTGTGCTGGACTGATTGCTCTTGTTCTCCCATTGGCTGTAATTCAGTGGATTTACATTTTAGTCCACCAATCACAGTTGGCATTAGAATTGCTGACATATGCCTTCTGTATGACATCAGATCAAGCCCTGGGGGCTTAACTGCCTCTTGGGGAGCTAAAGCCTTTGGCTGAACAACCAGAGTGAACCATCGACCCTGGAAGGCCCCTGGGGCACCACCACCCCTGCGAGGACCCCGGTGTGCACCACACTTTCCCCTGAGGGTCCCCTGCTGGAGGGCACGCTGACCCCCTGAAGGTGTCTCGGGGGCGCCACCGCATCTTGGGAGAGTCCCTCGGGCATAGCACTGTCCCTAAGTGGGAACCTGGGAATGCCACCACCCCTGGGACGGCCCCTGGAAGGGCCACCATCTTTTGCAGGACTCTGGGGCGTCACCGCCATGAAAGGGGTCCCTGCCCGGCGCCACAGGCCTCTGGGAGTGTTCCTGGTCGTGCTGTCGTCCCTTGAGTGGGTCCCTGGGGATGCTGCTGCCCCTACAATGGTCTATAGGGCGTCAGCCCCTAGAGGCCTTTGGGAACACCAATCTGTAGGGCCCTTGGGTGTAGTAGTTTTGCACTATTTAGAACTCTGGCAGATATGACGCAACAACATACACCGCCCATCACTTTTCCAGTATGATCGCGATGCTGAACAATGACAAGGAGTATAAATATCCAAATAGAAAACATAAGTTGGGGTGTTGTGTTGACTGATTGCTCTGTTCTCCTATTGGCTGTAATTCAGTGGATTTACATTTTAGTCCACCAATCACAGTTAAGTATTAGGGATTGCTGGACATATGCCTTCTGTATGACACTGTGATCAAGCCCCTGGGGCGCAACGTCCCTGGGGGAGCCAAAGCCTTGGCTGAACAACTAGAGGAACCACGACCCTGAAGGCCCCCCCTGGGGCCACCACCTCACCCCTGGAGGACCCCTCAAAAATCTTCACATTCCTTGAGGGTCCCTGAGGGAATCAAGCTGACCCTGAAGGTGTCTCTGGGGCGCCACCGCATTTGGGAGAGTCACTCGGGCATAGCACTGTCCCTAAGTGGGAACCTGGGAATGCCACCATCTCTGGGACGGGCCCTGAAGGCCACCATCTTTGCAGGACCCCTGGGGGCGTCAACCGGCCATGAAAGGCCCCTGCCCGGCGCCACAGCCTCTGGGAGTGTTCCTGGTCGTGCTGTCGTCCCTCCTTGGAGGGTCCTTCTGGGGATGCTGCCGCCCCTACAATGGTCCATGGTACGCCGCCGCCCCTAGGAGGGTATATTTGGGGAGTCACCAGACCTGTAGGGCCCTTGGGTGTAGTAGTTTTGCACTATTTAGAACTCTGGCAGATATGACGTTAAATAAATACACCGCTTCATCACTTTTCCAGTATGACGATGAACAATGATATGAGAATAAAATATTCAACAGGAAAACATGTTGGGGTGTTGGAAGCCGACTGATTGCTCTGTTCTCCTATTGGCTGTAATTCAGTGGATTTACATTTTGTCCACCAATCACAGTTAAGTATTAGGTTTGCTGGACATATGCCTTCTGTACACACTGTGATCAGCGCCCCTGGGGCGCAACTGCCCCTGGAAGGGCCCCTTGGGGAGCCAAAGCCTTGGCTGAAACACTAGAGGGAACCAATGACCCTGGAAGGGCCCCTGGGGCACCACCACCGTGGAGGACCCTGATGCACCGCTTTCCCTTGAGGAGATCCCCTGGAGGGCATCACTGACCCTGAAGGTGTCCCTGGGGGCGCCACCGCATCTGGGAGAGTCCTCGGGCATAGCACTGTCCCTAAGTGGGAACCTAGGAATGCCACTCACTCCTGGGACGGCCCTGAAGCCACCATCTTTGCAGGACCCCTGGGGGCGTCACTGCTCATGAAAAGGTCCCTGCCCGGCGCTACAGCCTCTGGGAGTGTTCCTGGTCGTGCCGTCGTCCCCTTGAGGGTCCCTGGGGATGGGCTGCCCCTGCAATGGTCCATAGGTGCCGCCGCCCCTAGGAGGGTTACTGCGAACAATTCAGACCTGTAGGGCCCTTGGGTGTAGTAGTTTTTGCACTATTTAGAACTCTTGGCAGATATGCGACGTTAAATAAAATATACCTACTTCATCACTTTCCAGTATGACGCATACTGAACTATGACAAGGAGAATAAATATCCAACAGGAAAAACATAAGTTGGGGTGTTGTGCTGACTGATTGCTCTGTTTTCATATTGGCTGCAATTCAGTGGATTTACATTTTAGTCCACCAATCACAAAGTTGGCATTAGGATTGCTGGACATATGCCTTCTGTATGACACTGCGGATCAAGCCCCTGGGGCGCAAACGTCCCCTGGGGAGTTTCAAAAGCCTTGGCTGAACAAATAGAGGAACCAATGACCCTGAAAGCAGCCCCTGGGGGCACCACCACCCCTGGGAGGACCCCTGGTGTGTGCACCCACTTTCCCCTGGAGGGTCCCTGAGGGCATCGCTGACCCTGAAGGTGTCTCTGGGGCGCCACTGCATCTGGGGAGAGTCCCTCGGGGCATAGCACTGTCCCTAAGTGGGGAACCTGGGAATGCCACCACACCCTGGGACGGCCCTGAAGGGCCACCATATTTTGCAGGAGTTTTTCCCAAGGCCACCGCCAAGGTCCCTGCCCGGCCACAGCCTCTGGGAGTGTTCCTGGTCGTGCCGTCGTCCCTTGGAGGGTCCCTGGGGATGGGCCGCCCCTGCAATGGTCCATGGGGGCGCCGCCGCCCCTAGGAGGGCTACTGCGAACACCAGACCTGTAGGGCCCTTGGGTGTAGTAGTTTTTGCACTATTTAGAACTCTGGCAGATATGACGTTAAATAAATACACCGCCCATCACTTTTCCAGTATGATCGCATGCTGAACAATGACAAGGAGAATAAATATCCAACAGGAAAACATAAGTTGGGGTGTTGTGCTGACTGATTGCTCTGTTCTCCTATTGGCTGTAATTCAGTGGATTTACATTTTAGTCCACCAATCACAGTTAAGTATTAGGATTGCTGGACATATGCCTTCTGTATGACACTGTGATCAAGCCCCTGGGGGTGCAACCGTCCCTGGGGGAGCCAAAGCCTTTGGCTGAACACCTAGAGGAACCAATGACCCTGGAAGGGCCCCTGGGGGCACCACCACCCCTGGGAGGACCCCTGGTGTTCACCACTTTCCGTGGAGGGTCCCTGAGGGCATCGCTGACCCTGAAGGTGTCTCTGGGGGCGCCACCGCATCTGGGAGAGTCCCTCGGGGCATAGCACTGTCCCTAAGTGGGAACCTGGGAATGCCACCACCCCTGGGACGGCCCTGGAAGGGCCACCATATTTTGCAGGAGCCCTGGGGGCGTCACCGCTCATGAAAGGTCCCTGCCCGGCGCCACAGCCTCTGGGAGTGTTCCTGGTCGTGCCGTCGTCCCTTGGAGGGTCCCTGGGGATGCTGCCGCCCCTACAATGGTCCATGGGGACGCCGCCGTCCCTAGGAGGGCCTTTGGGAACACCAGACCTGTAGGGCCCTTGGGTGTAGTAGTTTTTGCACTATTTAGAATTCTGGCAGATATGACGTTAAATAAATACACCGCCCATCACTTTTCCAGTATGATCGCATGCTGAACAATGACAAGGAGAATAAATATCCAACAGGAAAACATAAGTTGGGGTGTTGTGCTGATTGATTGCTCTGTTCTCCTATTGGCTGTAATTCAGTGAATTTACATTTTAGTCCACCAATCACAGTTAAGTATTAGGATTGCTGGACATATGCCTTCTGTATGACACTGAGATCAAGCCCCTGGGGGCGCAACCGTCCCTGGGGGAGCCAAAGCCTTTGGCTAAACAACTAGAGGAACCAATGACCCTGGAAGGGCCCCTGGGGGCACCACCACCCCTGGGAGGACCCCTGGTGTGCACCACTTTCCCTGGAGGGTCCCTGAGGGCATCGCTGACCCTGAAGGTGTCTCTGGGGGCGCCACCGCATCTGGGAGAGTCCCTCGGGGCATAGGACTGTCCCTAAGTGGGAACCTGGGAATGCCATCACCGCTGGGACGGCCCTGGAAGGGCCACCATCTTTTGCAGGACCCCTGGGGGCGTCACCGCTCATGAAAGGTCCCTGCCGGGCGCCGCAGCCTCTGGGAGTGTTCCTGGTCGTGCTGTCGTCCCTTGGAGGGTCCCTGGGGATGCTGCCGCCCCTACAATGGTCCATGGGGGCGCCGCCGCCCCTAGGAGGGCCTTTGGGAACACCAGACCTGTAGGGCCCTTGGGTGTAGTACTTTTTGCACTATTTAGAACTCTGGCAGATATGACGTTAAATAAATACACCGCCCATCACTTTTCCAGTATGATCGCATGCTGAACAATGACAAGGAGAATAAATATCCAACAGGAAAACATAAGTTGGGGTGTTGTGCTGATTGATTGCTCTGTTCTCCTATTGGCTGTAATTCAGTGGATTTACATTTTAGTCCACCAATCACAGTTAAGTATTAGGATTGCTGGACATATGCCTTCTGTATGACACTGTGATCAAGCCCCTGGGGGTGCAACCGTCCCTGGGGGAGCCAAAGCGTTTGGCTGAACACCTAGAGGAACCAATGACCCTGGAAGGGCCCCTGGGGGCACCACCACCCCTGGGAGGACCCCTGGTGTGCACCACTTTCCCTGGAGGGTCCCTGAGGGCATCGCTGACCCTGAAGGTGTCTCTGGGGGCGCCACCGCATCTGGGAGAGTCCCTCGGTGCATAGCACTGTCGCTAAGTGGGAACCTGGGAATGTCACCACCCCTGGGACGGCCCTGGAAGGGCCACCATCTTTTGCAGGACCCCTGGGGGCGTCACCGCTCATGAAAGGTCCCTGCCGGCGCCACAGCCTCTGGGAGTGTTCCTGGTCGTGCCGTCGTCCCTTGGAGGGTCTCTGGGGATGCTGCCGCCCCTACAATGGTCCATGGGGACGCCGCCGGCCCTAGGAGGGCATTTGGGAACACCAGACCTGTAGGGCCCTTGGGTGTAGTAGTTTTTGCACTATTTAGAACTCTGGCAGATATGACGTTAAATAAATACACCGCCCATCACTTTTCCAGTATGATCGCATGCTGAACAATGACAAAGAGAATAAATATCCAACAGGAAAACATAAGTTGGGGTGTTGTGCTGACTGATTGCTCTGTTCTACTATTGGCTGTAATTCAGTGGATTTACATTTTAGTCCACCAATCACAGTTAAGTATTAGGATTGCTGGACATATGCCTTCTGTATGACACTGTGATCAAGCCCCTAGGGGCACAACTGCCCTTGGGGGAACTAAAGCCTTTGGCTGAACAACTAGAGGAACCAATGACCCTGGAAGGGCCCCTGGGGGCACCACCACCCCTGAAAGGACCCCTGGTGTGCACCACTTTCCCTGGAGGGTCCCTGAGGGCATCGCTGACCCTGAAGGTGTCTCTGGGGCCGCCACCGCATCTGGGAGAGTCCCTCGGGGCATAGCACTGTCCCTAAGTGGGAACCTGGGAATACCACCACCCCTGGGATGGCCCTGGAAGGGCCACCATCTTTTGCAGGACCCCTGGGGGCGTCACCGCTCATGAAAGGTCCCTGCCCGGCGCCACAGCCTCTGGGAGTGTTCCTTGTCGTGCCGTCGTCCCTTGGTGGGTCCCTGGGGATGCTGCCGCCCCTACAATGGTCCATGGGGGCGCCGCCGCCCCTAGGAGGGCCTTTGGGAACACCACACCTGTAGGCCCCTTGGGTGTAGTAGTTTTTGCACTATTTAGAACTCTGGCAGATATGACGTTAATTAAATACACCGCCCATCACTTTTCCTGTATGATCGCATGCTGAACAATGACAAGGAGAATAAATATCCAACAGGAAAACATAAGTTGGGGTGTTGTGCTGACTGATTGCTCTGTTCTCCTATTGGCTGTAATTCAGTGGATTTACATTTTAGTCCACCAATCACAGTTAAGTATTAGGATTGCTGGACATATGCCTTCTGTATGACACTGTGATCAAGCCCCTGGGGGCGCAACTGCCCCTGGGGGAGCTAAAGCCTTTGGCTGAACAACTAGAGGAACCAATGACCCTGGAAGGGCCCCTGGGGGCACCACCACCCCTGGGAGGACCCCTGGTGTGCACCACTTTCCCTGGAGGGTCCCTGAGGGCATCGCTGACCCTGAAGGTGTCTCTGGGGCCGCCACCGCATCTGGGAGAGTCCCTCGGGGCATAGCACTGTCCCTAAGTGGGAACCCGGTGAATACCACCACCCCTGGGATGGCCCTGGAAGGGCCACCATCTTTTGCAGGACCCCTGGGAGCGTCACCGCTCATGAAAGGTCCCTGCCCGGCGCCACAGCCTCTGGGAGTGTTCCTTGTCGTGCCGTCGTCCCTTGGTGGGTCCCTGGGGATGCTGCCGCCCCTACAATGGTCCATGGGGGCACCGCCGCCCCTAGGAGGGCCTTTGGGAACACCACACCTGTAGGCCCCTTGGGTGTAGTAGTTTTTGCACTATTTAGAACTCTGGCAGATATGACGTTAATTAAATACACCGCCCATCACTTTTCCTGTATGATCGCATGCTGAACAATGACAAGGAGAATAAATATCCAACAGGAAAACATAAGTTGGGGTGTTGTGCTGACTGATTGCTCTGTTCTCCTATTGGCTGTAATTCAGTGGATTTACATTTTAGTCCACCAATTACAGTTAAGTATTAGGATTGCTGGACATATGCCTTCTGTATGACACTGTGATCAAACCCCTGGGGGCGCAACTGCCCCTGGGGGAGCTAAAGCCTTTGGCTGAACAACTAGAGGAACCAATGACCCTGGAAGGGCCCCTGCGGGCACCACCACCCCTGGGAGGACCCCTGGTGTGCACCACTTTCCCTGGAGGGTCCCTGAGGGCATCGCTGACCCTGAAGGTGTCTCTGGGGGCGCCACCGCATCTGGGAGAGTCCCCGGGGCATAGCACTGTCCCTAAGTGGGAACCTGGGAATGCCACCACCCCTGGGACTGCCCTGGAAGGGCCACCATCTTTTGCAGGACCCCTGGGGGCGTCACCGCTCATGAAAGGTCCCTGCCCGGCGCCACAGCCTCTGGGAGTGTTCCTAGTCGTGCCGTCGTCCCTTGGAGGGTCCCTGGGGATGCTGCCGCCCCTACAATGGTCCATGGGGGGGGGGGGCCGCCGTCCCTAGGATGGCCTTTGGGAACACCAGACTTGTAGGGCCCTTGGGTGTAGTAGTTTTTGCACTATTTAGAACTCTGGCAGATATGACGTTAAATATATACACCGCCCATCACTTTTCCAGTATGATCGCATGCTGAACAATGACAAGGAGAATAAATATCCAACAGGAAAACATAAGTTGGGGTGTTGTGCTGACTGATTGCTCTGTTCTCCTATTGGCTGTAATTCAGTGGATTTACATTTTAGTCCACCAATCACAGTTAAGTATTAGGATTGCTGGACATATGCCTTCTGTATGACACTGTGATCAAGCCCGTGGGGGCGCAACTGCCCCTGGGGGTGCTAAAGCCTTTGGCTGATCAACTAGAGGAACCAATGACCCTGGAAGGGCCACTAGCGGCACCACCACCCCTGGGAGGACCCCTGGTGTGCACCACTTTCCCTGGAGGGTCCCTGAGGGCATCGCTGACCCTGAAGGTGTCTCTGGGGGCGCCACCGCATTTGGGAGAATCCCCGGGGCATATCACTGTCCCTAAGTGGGAACCTGGGAATGCCACCACCCCTGGGACGGCCCTGCAAGGGCCACCATCTATTGTAGGATCCTTGGGGGCGACACCGCTCATGAAAGGTCCCTGCCCGGCGCCACAGCCTCTGGGAGTGTTCCTAGTCGTGCCGTCGTCCCTTGGAGGGTCCCTGGGGATGCTGCCGCCCCTACAATGGTCCATGGGGGGGGGGGGGCCGCCGTCCCTAGGAGGGCCTTTGGGAACACCAGACCTGTAGGGCCCTTGGGTGTAGTAGTTTTTGCACTATTTAGAACTCTGGCAGATATGACGTTAAATAAATACACCGCCCATCACTTTTCCAGTATGATCGCATGCTGAACAATGACAAGGAGAATAAATATCCAACAGGAAAACATAAGTTGGGGTGTTGTGCTGACTGATTGCTCTGTTCTCCTATTGGCTGTAATTCAGTGGATTTACATTTTAGTCCACCAATCACAATTAAGTATTAGGTTTGCTGGACATATGCTTTCTGTACGACACTGTGATCAAGCCCCTGGGGGCGCAACCGCCCCTGGAAGGGCCCCTGGGGGAGCCAAAGCCTTTGGCTGAACAGCTAGATGAACCAATGACCCTGGAAGGGCCCCTGGGGGCACCACCACCCCTGGGAGGACCCCTGGATGCACCGCTTTCCCTTGAGGGTCCCTAAGGGCATCGCTGACCCTGAAGGTGTCCCTGGGGGCGCCACCGCCTCTGAGAGAGTCCCTCGGGGCGTAGCACTGGCCCTAAGTGAGAACCTGGGAATGCCACCACCCCTGGGATGGCCCTGGAAGGGCCACCATCTTTTGCAGGACCCCTGGGGGCGTCACCGCTCATGAAAGGTCCCTGCCTGGCGCCATAGCCTCTGGGAGTGTTCCTGGTCGTGCCGTCGTCCCTTGGAGGGTCCCTGGGGATGCGCCGCCCCTGCAATGGTCCATGGGGGCGCCGCCGCCCCTAGGAGGGCTCCTGGGAACACCAGACCTGTAGGGCCCTTGGGTGTAGTATTTTTTGCACTATTTAGAACTCTGGCAGATATGACGTTAAATAAATACACCGCCCATCACTTTTCCAGTATGATCGCATCCTGAACAATGACAAGGAGAATAAATATCCAACAGGAAAACATAAGTTGGGGTGTTGTGCTGACTGATTGCTCTGTTCTCCTATTGGCTGTAATTCAGTGGATTTACATTTTAGTCCACCAATCACAGTTAAGTATGGGATTGCTGGACGTATGCTAATATTTAAGATTTTAATCATGTGCCATAATGTATATTGTGTATATTTATAAAGCATGTTTTTTGTGGTCAATAAAATATCTATCTATCTGTCTATCTATCTATCTGTATGATCACACCCCTGGGGGCGCCATTATCCCTGGAAGGACCCCTGGGGATGCAGCCGCCATTGTGAGAACCCCTGGGGTTGCCGCTGCCTTCTGGGAGGGTCCTTGTGGGTGACGCTGTCCCTGGGAGTATTCCTGAGGGCGCAACCATCTATGGGAGGGTCCCTGGAGGCGCCGCCGTCCCTGGGAATGTCCCTGGGGCGCCGCCGCCCAGGGCCGGATTTAACTACTTGGGAGCCCCAGGCCAAACTCATCAGTGGGCCCCCAAATTTATAGAAATGTTGCATGTTTCAATAATCAATATATATATATATATATATATATATATATATATATATATATATATATATATATATATATATATATATATATATATATATATATATACAGTATATATATATATATATACATATATATATATATATATATATATTACATTATGGCATAATAATAAATGTAAGAAATAAGAATTTCAACACAATGTGACACATCATTACTTTTAATCAAACAAATACAATTAACTTGAAGCATAATCAATTTTTCTTCCTACTTTTTTCATGGAAAATTTGTCAATGATACTGTTTGTGTCAAGGGATTGTAGGAGGCCAGATTCAATGCATAATAATGAAAGTGATCTTTAATCTGGTTTGTCCCATGGTAGACCTCAGGTGATTTTTCACCCTAGAGTAGAGAAAGACCTCTCTCCTTCACAATTTGTAATGGGTATGGTAAGGAAAATTCTTACCAAGATACTAATGTTTGGAAAGGCAGTTGTCAAAATACCATCTTTGAACCTCAGCAAAGTGGAGATGTTTGTCACTGACTTGTCAGATTCAGAAGACAAAATGTCTTTAAATTCCAATAACTCATCTACAACAGATGCTTCCAGGTCACTGGAATAGGTACTGACAACGAATTCCAGTTCGGCTTTGAGATCATCATATTTCATACTGCCATACTCCGAAAATGGCAAAAATTTTAATTCATTTGAATTAGTAATAATGCAGATATCAAATTTTGGTTAACAGATCTTTAATCAACATGTTCAGGAGTACCTATACTGAGATTTTGAACAAAATCTATTTTTTGGCCAAAAATCCTGTAAGACATAAGACTTACAATGTCCTTCACACGTCAAGGCGCTGAAGGTTTCTTGAACTTTACTCTCTCTCTCTCTCTCTCTCTCTCTCTCCAGTATATATGTATGCATAGATAGATAGATAAATAGATAGATAGATAGATAGATGGTGGGACACGGACATTTAAAAAATGTATATATATATTTTTTATTATCTTATTTTATCTTATTTTCTTCATTTTACTATAGGGCCTAGTCCGTGGACCACCTGAGAACCACCCCATGACCCACCAGTTGGAGACCACTGCGGGCCTATACTTATTGTACAGGGGCCCTTATGGTTGTGAATACATTATATAATGAAATACTCGGTGTTCACTTGAAACAAGGTTATACGCTGGCACGCTGCGCGACAAATTAGTTTGAGTGGGCCCCCAGATACCGGTGGGCTCTAGGCCAATGGCGTACTTGGCCTATTGGTAAATCCGGCTCTGCCGCCGCCCCTGGAAGGATACCTGCGAGATTCCCTGGGGGCGGTGCTGTCCCTGCGAGTATCCATGGGTGCGTCACCAGCTTTGGGAGGGTCCCTGGAGGCGCAGCCGCCTGTGAGTGGGCCCCTGGAAACTCCACCACCCCTTGGATGGTCCTGCGGGGCGTAACGGCCCTTCTGAGGGATCCTGGAGGCGTCGCTGCCCCTATTATTATTTGGGGAGGGATACAAGCAATTTCCGACAAAAATGAAGGTCAGATTCGCTTAAAACGCACCAAAATACACTGGAAAAACATATTGGTTCAACCCCTAGGGACTCACGTCCTAAGTAAAAATTTACCCAATTTCTTACATTATATCTATCGTTTTGCTAATCAACATAATAGATCAGCACTTACGATACATATTTTTTCAAACTATTTGCAATAATTTTCCTTTTGGGGGGCACTCTTTGCAACAATTTTGGACTTAATTCGGGTATTTCCAGCAAAGCATTAAAGAAAATCTCAGATCTCTATTATCATCAAACGATAGTAATGAAGAGTGAAATACCTTTATTTTAAAAACTAAAAAGTTTGGGCGGTATGTTGTAAGATTTAATTAAATGAAAATGCAAATCCTTATGAGATGTTTTATTGGATATACAGTAATACCAAAAGAATTATTCAGCGATATCAGTTGCTAAATAATTCACTTCCGGATAATCACATCGCCATTATACGACTGAATTATGTGCCTACTTAATAGTTAACAGTTTTGACTACACGATAAATAGATGTATATTCTATACCTATATATTCACGCAAGCTTCTGATGTATACAATGTCGTAAGGTTTAATGTTAAGACACCGAGAAACTATATTCCAGGATTATAAAGTAAAGAATAACGCTGTATATGGTGAACGACAACATACACCTCGGGTTCAGCAGACCGAGTGATGTAGTATGCCTCGTGTAAAATCAACTTCACCCCTCACATTACCTTTGTCATACTTACTGGTCGATAACGAGTATGAGCTGTATATGGTATAACGTTATCTGTTCTTTATCCTCTTATGACATTATTTTTTCGATGTACATATTCAGTTTTTGATGTTTCCATACATCGGAACAGACCATAATATAATAATTAAATTTCAAAGATAAATTATGAACTACTGATGTAAGTTAAGCTACGCTACACTCCATCTCGTGTGGTAGGTGAAGGTATACTGTTGGTAGTCCTGGTGGCAAAGGTCGGGCAAGCTGGACGAGGTGTTCTTAACCTATAGTACAGTGTTCTTGTTACTGTTGATGATGCCGGCCGGTCTTGCCCCTCTACCTCACATCTTGGTCTCTTAGTACGGGCAGTTATATACGTTAACCGAGACACCTGTAACAAAAATTATTAGTTTTTTAAATAATCTATGAAATACACCACCGTACTTATTGCATGGTAGTATAAATTTTATATAATTCAATGAGCCCGTTGGTGTATTTCAACTATATTTCATACTTAAAAATATAATTCAAATTCACGAAAAAATATATTTCCAGAATGTACACAGACTGATTTACCTGTAATACCACTTGGCCATCATGCTAGGCTACGGAAGCTAATATTACTGTTTGAAATACTAATATATTTGTTCCTTAAAACACCATGAAAGATTGGCCAAGACATTTTAACTATACGAGCAATAAATTCGTCGAGAACTTACATGCGTGACCGTTGAAGATCATGTCGACCTTACACTTGATGTAACGTATGTGTTCCATCTGTTGTGTGTAAACGTTGAACCCACATACATGGTAACCTTCACACTTGTCAGCTGGCAGGGAGGGAGGGAATATAATGAGTTACTCTACGATTCATTTTTTTTTTAATATACAGTAGTTACATCAACGTAATAACTGTTTGAAGACTCTGCGTGATTATTTTGAAGGAAATTAATAAATACCCCAGATATTATGGATGTAACAAATTGTGTGAAATTGATTAATGGAGAGAGAAGTAACACTGATTTTGAAAGTCGATATTCAAAACACAATTGTAAACACTGAACAAGTTAACTAGTACTGTATTACCGATCCTCCACAAGCACAAAGTTTTAATTAGTAGCATATAGGCCTATAGGGTTTTCCCGTTTGCATACTTGAACTCAAAATAAGTGAAAATACAAAACTGTAATAGATTACTCCAAAATTTAAGTTTATACTGTATTAATAATAATTGTTCTCAAGTTTGGTTTCCGTTCATACAAGGATTCTGTACTAGTAGACAATATTTGGTCAGGTTTAAGCTGATGAAGAACAGGATAAAGGGGTAGCTGGTTAGTGCCGATGGTGCCCCTAGTCTACCATGGTGGGAATGGGTACCTAATTTAATAAAGGGAAGGTAAAGGTGGTCAACTACTTGTTCCTAAATTTCCGAAAAAAAGTTTATTTAGTCTACAATATACAGATATCTTACACCTCCCCTAACGCCTACGGGACTCAAATCCATACTAGTGAACTTTATGTTAACACCACAAAGGGAAAGAAGAATTAGGGCAAGAAATCTCATAAAACACTGCCACTCACCAGGGTCCGAGAAGATGCCCCCCTTTGTGCAGTTGTATTCATGGTCGTGGTCGTGGCCAGGTCCTGTGGTCCCGCCAGTTCCTGTGTTCCCGGCAGTTCCTGTGTTCCCGGCAGTTCCTGTGTTCCCGGCAGTTCCTGTGGTCCCGGCAGTTCCTGTGGTTCCGCCAGCTCCTGTGGTCCCGGCGGAAGCTATGGCTGCCACCATCACCACACACACAGCACATACGATCACCTTCATCTTGGAGCTTCAAGAGTTATCAGTACAGGTTCTCAGGAGTTGTGGCTGGTGACCGGTGTGCCCGTCCATTTATAGCGCGGGGTTGACCCTGGAAAGATCCAGCAAGTATTGGTACAGTTGTATAAACTTTGTTCGAAGGAGTGATTCATTGGCCTCAGTTTTCAAAGATTCTGGAACTATATCATTTGATGTGTTCTTATATAAAACAGAAGCATCATACGTTATATAGATTAGTTGTTTAGAATTGAGTTAGTAATAATATTGTAGACTGGGAAGTTAACTAGGCACTTATTTCTAGACTTCTTGCCCCCACAGAGACGGAGAAACAAGCTTTTATTCAATTAACCATCTATTGAGAGCGCCTGAGACACATGCATGAATACATTACTCATGTAAATGTGAAAATTTTCAAGTAGAATTTGTAAATTGACTATTGACAAAATAATTTTTTATCTTTTCTATCTAGTGTTAACACAGATGTAAAACACACACACACACACACACAGACACTGGTAGCAAAGTAATACTCACTGTAGAACTAGCTGATAGCATAGAACCGGTTGACTGTAGAACCAGCTGATCTGTACACTAACTGGATTAAGGACAGCTAATTGAGGAGGAGGGATGAAGGCGGGGAAGAAGGGAAGAGGGTAAGGAGGAAGGAGCGAGGGCAGGGAGGAAGGGGAAAGGGTGAGGAGCAATGGAGAGAATGAGGAGGAAAGAAAGGGGGTGGAGAGGATAGGGAGGAAAAAGAGGGGGTAAGAAGGAAAGGGAAAGAGGATGAGGAGGAAAAAGATAGGATGAGGAGGAATTATAGACGGTGGGAAGGAAGGAGAGAGGGTGGGGAGGAAAGGGAGAATGACACATCTTCTTCACGAGATGACCAGTTTATTATGCAAATGTGTGTACAAAATAAAACACCGTGAAAACACTTCAATCTATGCTTGGTCCTACGCCAGCACCGTAGGGGTTAACACGCCCGTGGGTAAGAAGGGCCCAGGGACCTCTTCGCTCATTCTGGAGATGCCAGAGATCTTTACTGCAGGGGAAGACTCTGAGATCTGCCATACCTGAGGTGTAAGAGTCCCCGGGGCCTCCACAGATTTCAGGGCTCCCTAAACGGCCATAGTCAGATTCATCTCAGCCCTCAAACACTTACACTGTTCAACCTTTCTATCGAATCGATTCTACTCAAACGTGTCGAAAATTTCTATGTGAATTAGTTAAAAAGTGAGAGATCCCACCTGGCCATGAAAAACGTCTTCTTAGAGGCCGTAAAGGGGTTTTTCATATCCCTAAGTCTTTATAAATTGATGTCCGGCTGAACAAGTCATCCTGAAGGCTGACATAAACCTAATCTAACCTCACTGACGATCAAAGAAAGTCAAATTATTTCTCTTCTGATAAGGCCAGACTGATAACTGTAGATGACATCAGTGACTCATACCTTAGGATAAGACACTGAGTCTCACTTGTTGTTGATGACAGTGACTCACCCACACTGATGATCTTGAGTCAGGCGTGAAGAAGCTGGTGATACAGTCATGTACATAGAGGCCCAACAGATCAGGTTACACGAGAATATCCGTCAACTATTCGTCTTTAAATTTTAACATCAGTGCCACAAATCTTTGCCCAAAATGAGGTAATAATTGAACAAGTCTCCTATAACCTATGCAACTGTTACTGCTGCATTTCACTTATTAAAAACAATATTCCAAAAGACTTTAAAAACAGCATCGAAAATATGAGTCACTGATATCCTTGAGGTCCTCTGTAATATGAATGGCAGGGAAACTCTTGGACTCTTGATCCATTACTGTTTACTGTATGTATATAACTATTTATCACAGTGGCGGGAGAAGGACTAATATATATCAACATACTAATTATCTACTGAATATAAATTATGTTATCTCAAAATTACAACTTATAAACTACAAAATTACTTCAAAATAGTTTTCCTTGTTGATAAATGAAATACTTCTACTGTAATTGTTGTGAACTTTGTATAAAATTTCCTGTAAGACAAGTGCTGTCGTACAGGGTAACATTCATCTATAAAATACAGTACAGTACAGACGAAGTACACCGACAAAGTACTAAACAAAGACATTATTTTGTTCTTTTGTTAGTGGCTTAAAGAGATGCCTATCACAAGGTTGTAGTTATCAGGTGTCACACTTGAAGGTAAATTTAAGATATCAATATGGTTTTTTTTTATAACACTGGCGTTGTTGTATGGTTGAATGTGTGTAAGTTTTCACCATCAATATTCCACGACAGCAACGGTGTACTTTACCCTCTCTGTCCTATCATATGTGATTGGTCTTTAAAATTACAAGACTGAAAATTGTATGTCACCTATAGTCACCACCCAAACTAAGCCACACTTCTGTATCTGACATGACAGCCAGTTTGTACAAGAATACTAATCACAAAAACAGTGATCCCTTACGTATAAAATAATATACTGCCTTTATTAAAATCTCAAAAGTAAATTATCACTTAGAATCTACATCTACCAAAATACAAGGTAATTTTATAAGTCCATTATGAAAGGAGGATGGCGCATGGCAGTTCTTAGATCATTAATATATAAATTCTATTATTTTGGTTCTCATGCATGAAACTATCTTGCCACCTACTTCCATTATAGGGAATGAAGTTAATAGAATGTCGATGAAGGTAAAGAGTGAAGCGATCCCAGAAGAATGAGTCAAGAGCAAAGTAAAAAAAGTGGAAGAAGCAGTTTGAGAATGTGCAAAAGATCACCAAGAAATGGACATTCAACCAGCAAGAGACGGTAAGAACATTCTGCTTTACCACCTCATTCCACAACAGTGCTTCTACAGACGACAACAGCCGAAGCACTGCCACATACTTGCCAAATAATGTAAATAATATCTTTGGTATATTCACAAATACTGGAGGATCAAATTAACAATAAAAACCCATCACATTAAAGAATATATAACCTTATATAATTATCATAAAATATAGTGTAGTTAAATGTCGTTTGGTAGCATTATATACAGGCATCCTCAGAGTGTCTTGAGAGGGGAGACAGTGTTCCTCACAAGTCGAAACATATCTTATCTACTTTATATAATATATCCTGTTTGGTCTTGGTGTAGCACAAGTCGTCCTTATCCATGATTATCACCAACAGGCTCTCTGGCGGCTTAAACTTCCCTAACTTAACGTGTTGATCGTAGTACTGGTGATGAGTCTTCGTCACCTGTTAGTAGTCAAGGACAGTCAACCAATAAAAATACAGAAATTCCACCTATTCTCTATTTGTTATCCGTCAGGCAGTATCACCGTCCAAGTCATCAGGCTGGGTGGTTGATGATCCATTTCGTCTTGGGGCTTTCAGTCTTTCATCTAGCCTAGTTCTACCCCAGCCCACGCCTCCAACAGCGCCGAAGGTGGTTTATACATTGAAGAAGTTGCTGGTGTCGGGAGGGTTACCATCTGGGACCCTCTGATAACGGACGTATGCCTTGGAGAAGATCAGTCCGATAGTCTCGTACAAGGGGCTACAAACAGCGTACAGACACGCCTCCCAGAACTTCTTGATGGTAGCAAAGTTGATCTTCCACAGACGTAGACATGGGCCCACACACCACACTTGCTGTTGGTGAAGAAACCCATCAGATGCAGCTCACCCAACCTAACCTGTCTTCCTTCTCTCCCATCCTTCCTTCCTTCATTCCCTCTCATCTTTTTCCCCTCACACATCCCGCACCCCCCTCCCTAATTCCTTCCATCCCATCCATCCCTCATCCCATCCATCCCTCATCCCATCCCATCTCTCCCTCCTATTCTTCCCAAACCCTAACGACACTTACGTTGAAGGCCAAACAGGCGAACTGGCATCCGTTACAGAAGGCGATGAAGGGAGCCAAGAGAATGACAAGGAACACGTAACAGCAGCGCCTGGTTCCGTCGTAACATCTAATGGAACAGTTCCAGCAACAGTCTGGTGTCCTCAGTCCTTCTGCCTCGCCGATAATGTCATCCCAAAGAATCTGTCAACAAGAGATGAAGAAAATGAGCTGGGTGTTGCAGGAGATGATATGAATGTTGCAGGAGATGAGCTGAGTGTTGCAGGAGATGAGCTGAGTGTTGCAGGAGATGAGCTGAGTGTTGCAGGAGATGAGCTGAGTGTTGCAGGAGATGAGCTGAGTGTTGCAGGAGATGAGCTGAGTGTTGCAGGGTGTTGGAGGAGAGTGTATAATGTCGGAAAAGACGAGAGAATGTTGGAAAATGTTGATGAATAACAGATAGTATTGGTTACTGAAAACAAAGAGTTAACTTGGCCGGGACAACACAGTAAATAACACACAAACATTACAACACTGGTATATTATAAACACAGGGACAACACAAGTCATTAATTAAAACATGTTCAATATTATCAAACCATAGAATGAATTATTAACATATTTAAAAGTATAATCAGTTGTGTGATCATAAGTAATTAAGAACAACAACAAAACAGAGTAATTAAGTGTTTCTGAAAGGAAATTAGAGTCGGGTTAACAGGCAGGGGAAGAATATGTAAACAATGGGTTAGGTTAGGTTAGGTTAGGTTAGGTTAGGTTAGGTTAGGTCAGGTCAGGTCAGGTCAGGTTAGGTTATAATGATTTATTATATCATAGTAATGGAATTATTGGTCCCGAAACCTTGGTGGGCCGATACAGTGTAATGGACACTAACCCTATGTTACAGTAGATCATGCTGTAGGGCACTGGAGGTACACAGCTCATCTATTTAATTACTGAGGGGTGGAGCTACGCATTGTGTGTGAGAGAGAGAGAGAGAGAGAGATCCACTACCCAGTGAGTCACTGAAACAAGGAACATCTGAGTCACAACTACACCCACTAACCTTACAAAATTTTTTACCAAAATATCCTTTTTTCTCAGAATTTAAATTTAAGGGGTTTAACTAATTAAGTACTTTCAGAATAACACACAAACCCTAAATCACACCTTGGAAACACATAGTTGATGAGAAATTACCATTGAAAAATGTCATCATGTGT